GCTTTTTAATTCTCTTAGAAATAATTTTAATGCCATCGAAGAGTACCCATGACTCTCATGTATATAAATAACACAGCAAAATGCTTTGTCATCTTTACGGTTGACAGGCCGCAGTCATGTACCGTCCATCGCTTTCCAGACACTTTTTGTTCTGCATTTCCCCCCATTCTCTAGCTTTCTCTCCGCCTCAAGCTTCTTTTCAGAACATACAGTTTTACAATCAACCAGAAGCAGTTCTGCGCAAATATATTGTGATATAATATATATATGACGTATAAAAAAATTTAAAAAAGGCATTTTAAATACCACAATAATCACATTTAGTGAATTTTATTGCCAATTAAGGCCTTAATTTAAAAAATAATAATTTAATGACTTTTAATAACCGCCGGAAACCATGTAATAAAGATGGACGGCTTTACCTACTGCAACTCCATAAAAAAAAAGCACAAAAAAAAAACTATGAGCTCCTGCAGGCCAGATTGAATTAAAATCTGGAGTTTACTGTGTTTAGTGTTATGTTTCCATTGTTTATCCAACATAATTCTTTTACACAGCTTGATTTTTGTTATCCTTTACATTCAGCTGATCTAAGAGAGGGTGATTGAAATTAAAGCTGGTTTTTCAAAGTAATGCAAGTCATCGGTTTCTTTTTATTATGACAGAAATCAATTTATCAAATTTGGTAGAAAAAATTTGAAATCTGAGATAAGATTCTGTCGCCCAGCCCTAAAAGAAATTAACTTATTATAGAATTTATACATGGACTAAAAAATGTGTCTCCTGATGATAAAATAGGACAAGTTTGTTTTACACAGCATGAAAATGTTTAAACACCTTATTAACAAACTAATCTTTATTTCCATGTGCTTACTGTAACATTTACTCACCAAGCTGCTCATTTTCATACCTCTATTATTTGGTTTTAATGTGGACTCTCACCTCTCGGCACGTTGCCTGATTGTTTAAGGTATTTTAACAAAAATGATCAACCGAACCTGGAGAAAAAGAGATGAAAAAGAAAAAAGGCAGTGAAGAGAGGAGCAGCAGCTCTTTCTCCTCAACTCTAGGGAGAGAACAGCGGAGTAATGAAAGGGAGATGCATTAAGATGATGGTGCAAAGAGGCAGACTTTGAAGCATTGAATGAAAGCTGATCAATGCAGATTTTTTTTCACCCTTTTCTTGCTGTTATCCACCAGCCTGCAGAGTAACAAACACATTTTGAGCATCATCTAGAGTCGTCCGCTTCTTTCTGCTTCTGCAGAGCTTTCAGCTAAGAAAATGTATCTATATGTAAAAGGTCCTAAAAATAAACTGGTTTTACCCAAAAAGGAGGACGTTTTTTTTCCCCAACAAAGAAAAGAACCATCTCTGACCATTATTTCTCTACTAAAATATCTTCTTTCTGAACTATGGCAAAACAGTTTATAAATAGTGAAATTAAAGATATAGTGGAGGATTTTCTCAAATGCACATGTAACCGCTCCTGAGAGGGAACGCCTATTAAACGTGTGCAAGTGCATGCAGGAGCCAATTTCTCCTCGTGCACGCTCTGTTTAAAAGAGGCTATTTGCATCGTTCATACAAGCTTACTTTCCAAAAGAAGATCTGCAATTATTCCACTATGTCAGACTCACCTCCAGTAAGCATGTAGGACAGCCTTACGTAAACCTATCATCAGAATGATTGACAATTAGGAAGACCACTTATTATGATGATCCAGCCAGAATAATAACATCCTCCACTATACGTCTAACTAAAAATGTCAAACCTTTCAGCAAAAAATATTCCATTTTAGACTCTGGTAGCCTAAGCTGGTAGCCTAAGACGAGGATCATAATCCTGATGAATTGACCACACCGATGACATTTTGAGTTGTACTTTCTCTCTTTAAAACTGCTTTTATTCAGCTTATCAAAGCAAATAAGCCGAGCTGTTCTCTAGATGACGATGAAAGGACAGAGCAGCTCAACAGTCGGAGCATCCAGATCGCCTGGACGCCATTTTCATGCCCAAAAGGCGTTTAGTGTGAAGACACCATAAGAAGAGCTGTCCAGAGAGATGGCAGCACAGCAGAGACAGATTTCCAGAAGCCCCTTTTAGGTCATGGATGCTTACATCATCATGTACAATATAGCAAACCTGACCCCCTTTTACACCTTCCTACTTTGTACGCTTTAAGAAAAGAGTAATATGATAGTATTGCATCTTTTTTTTTGCAGCTTTTTCCAATTCTTTTGAAATATTGACTGAGAGCATCTTACAGTGCGTAAATAATAATGAAATTAATCTGTATCATAATAGTCTTTATAGTACTACTTACTATATTTTTCCTAATATTTATTTATCCTTACATTGCTAGGGGTTCCTCTTAAAGCCATCCAGACCCTGAAGCTATTCATGTTCTCCTGATGGAGATGACAGAGTGTAATGCATCTATATATTAACAAGTTTATGCTTATCTATTTTTCTATATAGGTGGCGGATCGTCCCCTCTCTGTTCAGACTTCTTCAGTCTCACTAAAAGGCAACATTCCTACCATTTTGTCACGTTAAGACACAAAATATTTCAATATGCCATGTCACTGAGGTAATGATAAGAGATATTTCCTAAATTTATGTCATTAAAAGAGATACTTAAAGTCTTAGGAGTCTTTTTGAATACAGGCAACAAACAAAGTGTATTATTAATAGAACGTGAACCAAAAAGTCCAGGCTGCAGCTAATTTTGTAATTGAATCAATCAGAAGCTGGAAGCTCTGCTCTGCTTCAGATTGGTGAGTCTACCTGGTGTTTCCAACACTGAGCTCCAGGGCCCACTTCATTCTCCGGGCTCCGCTGCCTCCTCTAGTGGACAGAGCTCCTCCTTGTCCCCCTGGCGACGCCATGGCAACAAACTTCACCACTGGTCCTCAGAGATAGAGAAAGAGTGTGTGCACCTGCACGAAACCTGAAAATATAGATAACATTTTGTCATTGCGACAGTTTTCAAAGATCTGATCCTTAAAAAGTAGCATCTCATAAAATATTAGCAGATGATGAGTTACTGCGTCTTTAAATCACTTCCATTTTGGCAACTCACAATAAACTGGAGTAGATTTAGCTTCTATAGCACAAGATGAACAAACAAACAGTATAGCACAAGTGGGAAGACACATTTTACACAAGTAAAATAACGAGGTTTTGTGTGGATTTTAATAAGCCCCTCAATACAACGCAGTAGTGCAACCGAATGACATGAGAATTGATCAAATTCAGGAATAAAATCCACCTGTGTGTGAATATCAGTGTACACACTGGTTTGTTATCGAACAAGCAGCATCCTAGTGATAAAGGAACATTTCAGAGCACTGATCAAACCATTATTGAGTTATGAAAAGAACATCGCTGGATGGGAAAAGCTGCTTCAGATCTTCACCAAAAGAGTTACAATTGAAAAGCAAAGGTTTGCACTTCAGGATATTGAGTCAATGGGATTAAATATAAATGCTTAAAATAATCTAATTTTCATGCAACACTGTTATGCAATTCTGTTGTTGTGAAACAGTGAAGACTGTGGCTGGTTATGAAAAAGGTCCAAACTGCAGAAAATTAACATTCCATTAAAGGACAACGACAACATTTATTAAATATATGTCTGGTCAAAATTGCACCTGAAGAAATATCAAGGTATAAACGGCAGGGGAAATTACGAATTTTACTTTACAATTAGATAAATAATAACCACTTATAAAACTTATAAAAAAAATATTTTTTATCAAAAGGAAATCCAAAACCTACTTTGAAACTTTACGATTTTGTACAGAAGAAAAAAAAACATGGCGGATTTAGTGAAACAGTAGCTTTCCCAGAGCTTTCTGCCATAAGATACACCGATGACAGGACAAAATACTACATAAACAGTAGCTATTCCAATAACAATCAGTAATATTTAAAGAGGTATTACAGAAATTTGTTGTTTTAAGTTTTTCTAACGAACACAGCGGCAGCTCCGCAGAAGCAGCAGCGCGACGCAGCGCTGACAGGGGTGTAGCTACCGGCTAACGTCGAGCAGTAAAAGCTACACGCAATGCTAAAAGTTAGCTTACCTTACAAAGACATCTAAACCAGCGCTGCTGTCGTTTAAAGTTGGTATTTTAGAAAGAAATTGGCCCGTTTAGAGAGCCGAGAACAGCTTGTTCTACCGACCAACACTCGCTGACTTCAACCCAGGCCCGCAATGATGGCGCAGTTACGCTTAGAAACGTGGGTGGACGTTGACGTCGCACAGCCAGTAGTCAGTACGTCAAAGATACCGCCATATTGGAAAGGTCACTTGCGCCACTTTTAAAGACAGAAATAGCACTTTTTTGTTTTACAACCTTTCATTTGAGACTTAAAAACAGGTTCTTAACATATTATTGTAATATATATCACTTTATTGATATAGGTTGGGTAACAGAAATAAATTTTTGTCTTTCTTACACATTTAGATCTTTTAAGTCCTGCATATTCTATTTTTTGAATCATATTTGAATTCAGGTAAATTTAAATATACTATTTGATTTAATTAAAGAGTCTTTTATTCTATTGTTTTCACTTTATCAAAATTTTTTCAACAAATGCCTTATATCGAGATGGTTTCATCTATTCAAAAATTTAGTAGCTTTATGTTTACTTGTGAAGTTTGAATTCCCACAGCATGGTGATGCCACCACTGTGTTTTAGTGTTGGAATGATGTGTTCAGGCTGATGTGCAGTGTTTGTTTTGTGCTTCACATGACGTTTCAAACATGCATAGTACTTTATTTCTTTCAAATAATGATTGTCTCCTCACCAATCTTCTTCAAAGGTCTGATTTGTGGATTCCAGCAAGGTTTCCACGTATCTCTTCACGGATTTATGCTCTTTTCCTAGCTTTACATTTTAATGCAAAAGTCACATTATTTGCAAGTCAACTTTTTAGTCATACTGTTCCATGTATTAGCTGACACACCAAACAATGCTTTGTGAGCGATACAGCCAAAACAGACCAGATCTAAAGCTTTTATTATTTTAAACAAGTCCCATATTTTATGTGGCAGCAATATTTAAACATTACATAACAAATTAAGGTTAAACATGTATGTGCATCTAAGAATTCATTTAAAGACAATATATACAGACTTGGTGAAAAGCAAATAAAGCAGTGCAAACTGTATCGGTAAGTATACAAAAGTCACGTATGAGAGGCACAGTGGTTCTGTACAGCATGTGCACATTTTAAGGCCCAATTTAAACACAGATTTAAGGCCCGAGTGGTTTAGGCTCAGCCTCTGCATATTTGTTCATTAGGCAAAAAAAAAACAAAAAAAAAACATTCTGTTCCCATAATATATGTCAATGCTGTTAATGGAAGATTAAGGCCGGTTTATCTGCTACATGATACCTTTTGAGTGCAGTAGTTTTAAAAAAATACAGTTAATATACAGTTCCAGTTATTTCTTTTCTTCACATGTTTTGTTTTTCTTCACATCACTTGTAGAGGCTGAGCTCTGGGCTGTGGTACAGGCACATGTAGGAGTCGCAGAGCAGTCGGCGCACCGACTCCTTCACAGAGGAGGCGTCCACCCTGCTTAGCTCCTCCTCCGACAGACCCAGGTAGCGGCCCACCTCAGGACACGCTTTCACTCGGGGGATGTTGAAGCCGTTCTCGCCACCTGGGGTGAGGAGCGAACAAACAATCGTGAGGCTTTTGTGTTTGACTTGTAAAAAAAAAAAAAAAAAAAACTTTTTCTAGAAGAGAAACATTGTACCGTCTCGGTCTGCCATGCTGTCGAAGAACAGCCAGTCGGAGGCCTGGGGTCCGTGCTTAACGAAGCTCACATAGTGGCTGGTTTCGATGCACGTCACTGCAAACAGAGACATTCGCTGGCGAGCGTAATGCAGAGGGCCCGACCACGACCCCTGAGGAACGTTGATCTTCTCCGGCTTGTGGGAAGCTCGATTCCTGTGACTGTGAACCTGGTAAAGCAATGTTTAAAAAAAAACTCAACATCCCTTCTTATTGTCAGGATTTTAACAAACTTTCCTGGAAACAAAGGGATACCTGTGTTTTACAGGTCTGGCAGTATTGCTTTAGACGTCCAGGAGTGATCTCCAGGTCTCCGTAGCACTGCGAACATTCCCACTCAGCTACAGCCTGGCAGATACTGCACTGTCTCAGAGCTACACACAGCAGGAAACATATTCAACTTCAGGCAGAAATAACAATAATAAAGAAATGTGATCAGAGCAAACAGACCCTGATAAAAGGTACTATAGAAACACAGTAAAAGGATGTGGAGGATCTTACTGTCGTCCAGCAAGTCAGTGATGTCCAGGCTGAGGGTGGGCAAGATGGCATCAAACATTTTAAAGTCCTTCCCAAAGCGAGGCATCAGCAGGAGCAGACAGGAGGGAGCCTGGTGGGAAAATAAAGACACTTTTTTTTTTCTAAACAGAGAACTGAACCCTGATGTTCATCATGAAAGCTCATTCACTGAGAGAAGCCAGAGGAATGATAGATTAGGCCGGGTCTCTCTAGTGAAAACTAGTGGTGGGATGTTATTACATTTTTGAATCGACTTTCAATGGTGAAGTCCTCTCGAAATCAAAAATAATTATTGTTGATTGCAGGGTTCGTAATTAATTAATCAAATTATAATAAAAATAAACCAACTTTTCAATAAAAACTTTTAAAAACTTTCATCCCCAATAATTGAAGGATGAAAAACACAATGCATATGTTTCTTGTATGTAATCAATTAATTTGGTTATTCAACCATCAGGTCAGATCATTTAGCTTTATCTAGAAACCCCTGATATTTTATGCAGAGTTACATGGAGGGGAAGTGGGTAACAATGTTGGCTTGCAGCAAGAAGGTCCTGGGTTCGATTCCTGGGTGCTTTCTGCATGGAGTTTGCATGTTCTCCCCGTGAATGTGTGGGTTCTCTCCGGGTACCCTAGCTTCCTCCCACAGTCCAAAAACATGACTGTCAGGTTAATTGGCTTCTCTAAACTTGATGCGAGTGTGGGTGTGAATGGTTGTGTGTCTTTGTGTGTCTCTCCGTTTCCCTGCGACAGACTGGCGCCCTGTCCACGGTGGACCCTGCCTCTCGTCCATTGACAGATGGAGGAGAAGATTGATATTATGCAACATCTTTGAAAAGCTAATTCTATTGAAGTGTTAACAGTCCATGCAGGGCCGGTTCTAGCCCTTTGGTTGCCCTAGGCGAGATTGAGTTTTGCGCCCCCCCCCCCCCCCCTCACTTTTGCCGTGCGAAATACCAGTACTGTTTTCAGCATCTGTTTAGTGCTTCATTGAGTTGTGTTTACAGTTCCACAAAGAGTGCTGTGCGGTGAATTGTGCCTACAGTTGTGCAAAGTGTGTGTTACAAAATTGCAAATTGAGTGCAAAGCAGTGTTTGTTCTTTTAGTTTTGTGAACTCAGTGAGTGGATTTGCTATAAGTATTAATAGTTTTAGAAATTGTGCTATAAGAATCAAGGTTGTGTTTAAGCATTCAGAAAAAACTGTAACTTAGCATGGAGTGATGCATAGACAAATACCAGAATAGGTTTCAGTACCTTTTCTTTTTTATTATTTTAAATAATTTATTACACACTCAAAGTTAGGACTGTGCAAAAACACTTTTAACCATCTGTAAGGACACTTAGGTAAAGTATAACTAAAAAACTGGATTGAATCATTGAATGAATTTATTTCAGACAATTAACAAATGTAACACACATTAAACAAATATTAAATAAATCAATTTCAGAAATTACCAAATAACAATAAAAAATAATAAATTTAAGAAATTCTTCAACCAAGGACTACATAAAAAAGTAATTGATAAACATTAAATTAAATTTTCTGTTCCAGTTCAATTAAATAATTTGAACATAAATAGAAATGAGATAAACAAAATTTTCCTCTAAATAAAATATATCAGGTATATTTACCCTGATTTCTGACATTGATTAGTGATTAAAGAAAGGATTAACCCTCTACAAACAAAAGTGCTTTTATGAATACCATTACAAAATTAAAAGTTTGAAGTTGTTGTTTTTTTTTTGTTCACATATTCTATGATGAACAGCCATAACTTCATATATTTTGATGATTATTTGTACATCCCTTTTGAATACTCAATGCAGATAATCACTACAAAATATTTTATTTATATTAGTATCTTCTACCCATTCTCAAGCTAATAATATAGCACATAATTCTGCTGCATATATACTGAGAAAAAAATGATGTCAACATTAGGGATGGGGATCGTTAATATTTAATGATATCGATACTCCTTATCGATCCGAGTCTTTATCGATACCACTATCGATACTTTTCTGTTATTTGGTGGAAAGACGATGCAACAAAATTTTTTTTAACAGAACTGCTATTGCTTCTATTGCTTAACAAGTGAGCATAACAAAAACGTTTCTAGCCTTCAATAAACATGGCTAATGTAATAGGCCACTTCGAAATCATAAAACTAACTAGAATATATTTTCACAATTGTTGGTTAATGTATTGTCTACTGTCACTTTTCATCATGTTTTTAGTGATTAGGAAAATATTTAACAAATAAATAATTGTATTTTAAATTAAATGTAATTTTTTATAAATGTTGGCATCAGTAGTTTAATTATATATAGAGCAATATACAACTGTATTACTCATGTTTCTCGCCAAAAACAAAATTTCCCGTTTTCTTTACGTTACACTTGAACGCATCATGATAACCTAATTGTCGTTTTACTGAGCCAATCTGAACACATCATCACGCAGCACGTCTGAAACTTTATTTACTTTTCAAGCTAACTAGCTTGTATGCTTCCGATTACAACACGGATTTCACAATTAATATTTTTAACTGACCGGACACGCTACAAAGTCTGTGTGCGCGCTTACCAGTGGTACTCTGAGTGGATGATTAAGACGGGCCGACTGCGGCGGCAGGAGGAGGAGTCTTTTCCGTTCAGCCATTCTCGAGTCGCGAGCAAAGTTAAGTGCCAGACTTCACTTGTTTTACTTTTAATATCTGTTCGCTTACAATTTCATTCCAAAATATTGGTGTACATGCTGCAGTGATTGACGTCACGACTTCCGGGTTGGAGGGCGCTTGAAAAGTGATCAGAATCTTTTCCGATTTTCTCTTAAATGTGAAAAAATAAATAAAAAAACCGTGGTATATTTATTTGTTCATATTTTGCTATTTATATATACGTAAGGTTAAGTCAAACTGACGGACGCTTCATAACTGGTTTAATTCGCTTTTTTTCTAATTCTATGATTAATGGGAAGTAAGCCTAAGGGCGACGCTAGAGGGCGCCCCCAACACATTTGTCGCCCTAGGCAATTGCCTAGCTCGCCTATAGCAATCGCCGGCCCTGAGTCCATGAACCTTAATAATAGCACAATTCCTTCAACTAAATATGATATATATATATATATAGTAACTAGATATACAACAATCCCTGCAAAAGTTTCATATTTGCAGTAAACATAAGATACAGTTTCATATCTTACACTGACAGAACTACATAACAACAACAATTGTTATTCAATGTGTAGCATTTAAAGATTTACATCTCATGCTACCGTTTCTGTTAAAGCCAGTTACTAACACACATCGTCCATCTTCCTGCCCCTAGTTCCTTCCTAACTGTCAGCACTATTCAGATAGCACTTAATATGGCGACTGTTGGGGCTGTTCCGCCGTAGCTTAGATATTTACACCGATTTGAAGTATTTGGATCAACATGTGTTTAAGCTTGAATAACCCTAGGGAACCATTACTGGTGATGCTGCTTGTGTGTCGGATTAATGAGCCTACAAGAAACAGGGGGAACAGAGGTTCCTTCTTGGGATTTTAATAACTAAATAAGAAAATGCAATTAATATGATTTTTTTATTGCATTAAAGTCCTGGCCCTGGTAGAAACTAAATATCTAATATATTCCTTATCCATCTCCTGCTTACACTCTACCATCATTTTTAACACCACACTAAGGCGCTTCTCCCCATTTCACACCTTGAGTGTTTTACGTACAATCACACAGAAAATCATGTCAGATAAGGTTATGGTGTTTTTTGTGTTTTTAAAACATTATTTTTAATGACTTAATCTGTCCAAATATAATGTGAGAAATAGTTTAAATGTGTGTGGCACAGAGACAGAGGTAAAAAAAAAAACCTTGCCTGGTTGTAGCCTCTCTTTTTACGCAGTCAGTGTGACATGGGAAAAATTAAAATCGGAAATTAAAAAGTCATACGTAATCAGTGTGTTCAGATCGTAAGTTAGGATTTAGGGAAACTCCCCAGGCTGTGATCATGAAGGAGCCCAACTAAAAGGCTAATCTCCTGATTCTGGACTCAGTTTGAAGGAAACGTTTCCAGAACAGCTGAATGACCTAAATACATAATCGGCAAACCAGTGAAACATCTACATCACGCAGGATAAAGGCTCTACAGGCTGCAGCAGACAACTACTGCTCCTTCTTTAGAAAGTTTATTGAGATGTTAGGAACAAGCTGCTAAATGAGTTTCCTAAGGACGCTGGACTCTCCTTATAGAGATGGAGCGGCTTCTAAGCCGGCTTCTAGAGTCTAAGCAGACATTGAGCGTCTTTCTCTAACTCAGGGGTCTGCAGCCTGTGGCTCTTTAGACATTCAACAATGACTCTTCATCTCTTTAGCTAAAAAGCAATTTATAACCAGCTTTGGAAAAATAGATCATCAGCACATTGTAAATGCATTTATTCTCTTTTTGCAAGTATTTTCCTTCATTTTAAAGCGTAACATTTAAAATGACACGGTGAGTATTTTAAAAATCTTTAGGAGAGCTTTTTTAAAAACATACATGATCTCTAAAAAATATCTTGTCATGTTAACGGCGTAAACACTTTATTATAATAAATAATAATAATAATTGAACTTTATTGATCTCACATTGCAGAAATTTACCCCTGCATTTAACCCATCCCCTTGGGGAACAGTGGGCTGCCATTATGAGGCGCCCGGGGAGCGGTGTGGGGTTAAGGGTCTTGCTCAGAGACCCAGAGTGGCAGTCTGTGGGAGTGGGGGATCAAACTCAGAACCTCAGGGTTCCAAGCTCTATGCCCTTACCACTAGACCGCCACTCAACATTAACTGCTGAATATAAAAATGGTTCTATTGATTGTAAAGGTTGCAGACCCTGATCTATCCCTACTGCTTCTGTTCGCTCAGCGGATGTTGAAGTAACATTGATACATCAGTAGGGGGGCAGTACCCACAAAGTGTTAGGAAGCAGTTTAACTGGAGAAGCACAAGCATAACTTTCTGAAGGACTGGTGTGGACATGTCCCCATCAATAGGCTCTGCTTTTTTTTCCACCTTTCCACTCAGTTACTTTGGCCAAAGGTAACAGAGGTTGGATCCAGCCATCTGTGCTCAGAGAGTTTTTGGTCAGTGTTTTTTTTCCCTCTCTCGCGCTGTTCCTGTGTCCCACCTCTCTGTGTTACATCATCAGATCTGTCGCTTTGAGACATCTGCTTTGTGGTCGCATTTCACTGCATACAAAGTAGCTACGTGGGTTGGAGGAGAGACACACAGCAGCACTCAGTGAATATTATTTAGCAGCTACTTTTATGTATAAGTAAAGCTTATGAGGAGACGGGTTAAAAAAAATTGAGATCATACCACCAAAAAGATCTGTTTGTTAGACATACGGAGCTTTTTCAGCCAAAAATGGCAACAGATTGTAAGTTTATACAAGTTATTATTATAATGCAAGAAGTTGAGAAAACAGTTTGTTCTTTAGTAGTTCTTTTTAACTCCCAGTTACAGGTTAAAATGAACTTGTTTTCTTATTGTACAGATAGAATCAGACTGCAGAGCTTCTACATATCTTGAAATTTAGTTTCTGGCATCATTATATTAGTAAAGAGCTTCATAAAACTTTTTAAACAGAGCGCAGAGATAAGTAGGGAGAGCTGCAGATTTAAAGGTGAAACATTTACTGGGATATGCAACATTGCAATAAAATAGATCTCCAAATTTACCAGGAAGTTTATAAGAAAAAATATGCGATGCAATATATAAAATGAAGCATATCCATATTTTTCTGGATGGATGGAATTGAAATTGTAAATTGTAGGGGTGCATGAATTATCGATTTTGGCATCAGAATTGGCTGTTATTTGTTATTTTTTTTATTTGGGCCCCCATATGTAAATGCTCTAAAAGGCCTCTGTCTAACATTGTTTAATATAAATATCTGTTTATTATGTCTTGTGTTCTCAACAATAGGAAAGCATTCAATAAATATATGAGCTCATTTTTGGAAAATACAAAAAATTATTGAAAGCGTTCGGGTTGAGTAACTGTAGGTCCATCAGCCCCCACCCTTAGAGTGTCCCCACCAACTTTCCTCACAAAGTTACACCCCTGTAGGGAAGCACTGGCAAAGTTGAAAGTGTTTTCAGAAGAAGGTGATCCTAGTTTTTATGAACCACTTGGAATCCTGACAGATCTGATTATTTATCATAATCAGCAAACCCAGCAGTCCAATGTGATTCCCATTGGTCAGTTTTCCTTTTCCTGGCCCTCTGCAGCTTCAGTTGCTTTATTTTGAATAATTTCCCAACAGATACCTGCCAAGCAGTCGGATCAAACCGAAGATAACTGTCACAGAATCATCATCAGTCGATAATCCGGAAGTATAAAGCAAGTAAAGCAGTGTTGGGCTGCTTTATTAGTCTGTTATGGAACATTATAGATGAGGAAATGTAGGAACTAGGGCTGCAACAACGAATCGATAAAATCGATAAAAATCGACTTTTAAAAGCGTTGGCAATGAATTTCATCATCGATTAGTTGTGTCGCGCGATTAATGCGTCATCCACCTCCGCCGTCATCGCTGCCACTTGACTGAAAAGGGGGAAGAAAAAAAAAAATTACGGCACAGCGAGCCAGCGCTGCAGGTGCAGTGTTGGCAACTCAGCGATATTTATCGACTTTTCAGACCCCTCCAGCGACTATTTTTTTTTAAAAAGCGACTAGCGACAAATCTGGCGACTTTTTACGGTGTCACTGGCGGCTTTTGGAGACTCTTACGTGAAAGCACGTATCGTTCCTACTCTTGTCCTCCAGCGGCAGCTGCTGCCGTGAGGCGCCTCCCCCATCCCAACCCCGTTCTCCCGCATGAGTCCCTCTCAGCGCTGCAGTCAGAGCCAGCAGGATGTTTACCCTCAGCGCCCAGACTGCAAATGAAGCGCGCATGCGCCGGGATTGACGGCGCAAATTGATCACAATAATTAAAATAGCCTTTATAAATAAATTAACTTGCAAATTATGAGGGCAAGGCTTTCAAAGTTTAAATCTTCTGGCAAAGATAAAGTAAAGAAGATCCTGCAATTTATGGAAGTAAAGCAGAATAAAATCCAGCAGGATCAGTAATATGTCAATTAATTATATGCCACATTCCCATGTAAATATCTGTCTTTGGAGGATGTGTTTTTTAGCACCCCTAGTTCTCTCATTTTTATTCCAAATACAATTTATAATTTGAATCACAGGGCTATTTTTATCTCTATGGTTCAGTATTTCCTCAAGTAGCAACTTTAACTGCTATACTTTCCTGTCTTAAAAGGCAGAACTCTTCTAGTCTAAAAAAACTCTTTTGTTGAAATGGGGGGGCCTATTGCTTGAGCCCCTTAGGGGCTTTTAAAAACAAAAATGTCTTTTTTTGCACTTTATGAAACAAAGTACCCTATATTTTGTGGATGTACAGCTACATTTCTCATGTAAGTTTGCGTAGTTTTAACACAAACATTTATTTTTCATATTGCACCAGTACAGTTAATGAGCAACCTGTACTTGTGTGCTTGTTTGTTCTGTCTAAAATGTTTATTTTGGAATAAAGAGGTTAATATAAAAAATATTTTTTGTCCGATTCATCGATTAATCGAAAAAAATAATCGGCCGATTCATCGATTTTTAAAATAATCGTTACTTGCAGCCCTAGTAGGAACCCTGCTCACAATCTTATCATTAAGCTAAAGCCGGGCATACACTGTGTGATTTTTTCAATCATTGCGCGCAGCTACAGCTCACACTGTAGGATGAAATCCTGCGGTTTCGTCAAACAGTGCGAGTTCACAGTGAGCACGGCGCTCTGATGCGATCTACCTGCTCACATTGTATGTCTAAAAACCACGTCGTACTCCACAATAAAATGGAGCTACTCAGACTCGTCTATCTGGAAGCCAAACGAGTAGAAGAGGAATATGAACCTCACTAGAGTGAAACGCACTGCCTTAGCAATTTGTGCAATCTTGTGCTGAAAGACCTAAAAAGAAAAGGTGACGACGTATTTGGACAAAGACATGGCTGAGCAAACGTGGCTACTACGGTCCGATCGGAAACTTCTCGCACGTCTGAAAAGTCACCCTGAAAAGGGCAAAACAAATTGTACAGTCTAAGCCCGGCTTAAAGATCCGACCGGGTGGAGCTAATAGTGCTAATCGCTACAAATCAAAATAGGGAAAAATAAGTTAGAAAACCTTACCTCTAAATCTTATGTTAACTCCTGCTGATAGAAAATGATCCACTGCTACTTGGCAGCATGCTAGTACATGAAGTAAAAAATTAGCCTAACCTCCACAAACTTGAGGCCAGCGTGCAGGAAGGAGGACTCCAGCAGGGCCTGGACGCTGGCGACCCGCATGGACGCAGGAGAGATGATAGGGACAGGGGAGGAGGCGGGGGAGGAGGGGAGCGTCGGTGGAAACAGCTGGTAGAGGTGGCACTCCTGTGCCTGCTGAGACATTGATCTGAAACGGAGGAAGGAAGGAAGACGGGAGTTGCTTTTTTCCCCACACACGTGGAAAAATACTTCAGATCACCTCCCTGAGGTGATCTAGACAATGTAAACATGATTTTCTTCACTTACTTAACAATTGTGTGAATATTTGCAATTATGCAACAAAGACTAAACCAAAGAGCAGCTGACAGGTTTCCATTACTGTGGGAACGACAGTGACTGCACCAGCGTACCCTGTTAAAGCCTTTGTTTGCATACAAACTACATACATCTGGCTGCAGCTCGGACCACATTTAGACTCTGTAATATTCGGTGTCTGCAGACAAAGAGAAGGTTACCTAATCTTTAGGAGCGGCTCCACTCTCAGGAGCTGGAAAAGCTTGTTCAGGAACTCCTCTGGATCTGAAAGACAACATTCCTTAGTTTTATAACCAAGAATAAAAACAAAAAAACACGCAAAAAAAACAGGAAATGAGAGGCTGATATGCTCCCATCAGACCTTTCTCCTGGTTGGTGAAGCTGGCGTCACTGCTGGCGGCTTCCAGCAGGCGCCTCAGAGCCATGGTCTTACTGGCACAGACGTAACCGTTCCTTTAGAAACAGAGCAGCACACTTTACATTCACTCAGAGGAGGAAGATTTCACAAACATGCCAAGTCACTCCCCGTTGGTGACCAAAGGAAAAAAACAAAACAAAGCAGCAGATAGAATGAACTATGCTGATACTGCTTTGTCTCCAGCATGAATTAAGAGCAGTGAAATGTGGTTGGGTCGAAGGTAAAGCCTGGTATGGGCGCTCACACACCTTCGCAGCGGGTTGACGATCTCGCAGCGGAGCAGCTCCTGAGCCTGTTTGGAGCCCTGGTCCGTTTCGGCGTCAGACGGCCAAAATAAAACCCAGTCTGCTGAGCTGCAGCAGGAGAACAAACTGCAAAGAAAAGGTGAATAAACGACTAAGTGTTGAACTCGTCATCGAGTCTGTAAGCATCCTACATCTTTAACTGTGCACTTTATTTAAGGACGAATGAGTCCTGTTTTTGTCTCCTGACTGATTCCTTTGTACGCTGAGATAATTCGAGGGCTGGTTATCCTCCCGCAGCAGTGTGTCACAGTGAGCTTGAAGCAGATATTTTGATTCATGCCCAATTTTTAAGCATGGTCTGCGCTATGTTATTCCCTTTAGAAAGGACAGCAGGAGTTAGAGGAAGCAGGTAGAGAGCAAGGCTTTCAGCAGATAACAGGAAGGCTGAAAGCTAGCCATGCTAATTGCTATTGCCTCCTATTTAGATAAATTAATGACTCCCTCTACCTCCATCAAGGTTTCAGAAAACTGTGTTTCTCGGGCGTGCTTTGGTGGCACAATGGTTAGCACACACAAGCCATGCAGGGAGGCCTAAGCGGCTGGTTATTCTCCCGCAGCAGTGTGTCGCAGTGAGCTTGACGCAGACATTTTTGATTTATGCTCAATTTTGAAGCGTGGTCTGCGCTATGTTAGTCTATACCACAACACAAGAGGGAAAATCAGGAACTAGCTGTGGGTGTAGATACCGCCGAAGCGGTGAGCAAGTTTGGGCAAGTTCGTGTGACAACGCAGTAACGTGTAACATGAGGGCCAAAAAGAGCAGGGATCCAGGTGGAAAAACGCTCCCAGCTTTCTCGAGCACCTCGCTCCTCTAGCTGATCCAACTTTACGAGTCGTTTTCCATAATGGCGGTCATACAAACAAAACAAGCCGCTAAGGTACCAAACAGGAAATGTGCATGAGTAGAGCGGATGTAGATTTGACCAATCAGAGGCTTCCTGTCTGCGGTCACCTTCAATTTTGGAGCTGTGCGGCAGAGTGTCTGCGGAGGTTGCGGGGTCATATCTGTGTAAACTGCGACACACGCAGACGACCTGGTTTCTGAGTATAAGCCAGCCTCAACTGTGGCAGATCCGGAACCTCACCTGAACAACGTTGCGTCCAGGTAGCAGGAGTTGAGGTGACCCTGGATGCCTCTCTTCGAGCCCTCGTAGATCCGCCTGGCCTCGTCGCCGTCCACCGGCGGAGTGTGCTCGTCCACCCGCTCGCTGCCCCAGTCTGCAAAGGCTGAGAGACGCACACATAGGGTGAAAGGTCACGCTCGGACCTGCAGCCTCGGTGTAACAACACACCGTCCAGCTTTTAAGAAGCGTTCCTACCTATGGAGTTGCATCTCTCCACCTGATTAACGGGCTTCTCGGGAACGGGGAACCTGGAGTCCCGTCTGCAGTTGCGAAGCTTGATGAACAGCCCCTTGTTGTTGGGGCAACGGAAGTGGCGTTCTCCAAGGTAACTGCCGTCTGTTCCAGCAGACAGCTCCTGCTCCTAACGCACGGAAACATGGGAAAAAAAACGGAAATCCTACTGTGATAAAAGTCTGTCAACATCCCGCATCCAGACAAAAAGATCTACCAGCTCCAAAAACAAAACAAACCCAAAGCATGATGCTGCCACCGCCATGCTTCACTGTTGGTCTTGTGTCTTTTTACACCTTTTTTCTACTAGAATTGTTGAGTGATGTTTTATTTCAGTTTTTAAAGAATTGTTACACATTTTTCCACCAGATTTTAGGAGATTTCATCCAGTTCTGGAAGCTTCATATGAAGGAGGGTAAAACACAGCATCTTCTGTAGGTCTGCGCTCTGGACTGAGATTACTCAAAGATTACTCAACAAAACGTCAGTTGAGACTTTTGAGTAAGAAATTATTTTCTTTGTTTTATAACTCTACATAATATGATGTGATTTAATCTAAATCACATGAAGGGTTGTAAACAAAGCTGGTTACATGTAATTGTTGTCATAAATGATGTTTGATGTACTGCTAAAGCCTCGTTTTAGTGAATCAGGTCAGCGTAATGGAAATATATTTATCAGTTTATTTCTCTTCTAACTATAAATCTCTTGTGTTTTATTTCTGTTTCCCATTGAATCATCATAAATCGTATAAAAACTAATGGAATGATATAATTCGAATTGGTTTAACTAAAACTAAAAGCATTTCATCCATACTGTAGGTTATGAGAGAAAACAATGGGATATTAACTGGAAATTGGTTATTAGTCAAACTAATTAGTATTTATTGTAGAGGAACTTTAAAGTTGGATAAAAAGACAAACAATCAGGAACAAAGAATCCACTGATCAGGATAAAAAAGGCTTAAATAAACATTTAGCAACATGTAAACCAACTGATTTGAGCTCTACAGACTTCTTCAACTTTTGACAAAGTCCTGGATCAGAAAAGTTCACCTATCTGATCTAATATTCAGCGCTTTCTTTTAGAGGAAAAACCAGAAGGAGGAAGGAATACAGGGAAAAACGTCCCTCTCTGTGGACGTCTGCGTCCTTTACTACAGGAGGACGCCCTCATCTGTAGGTATGTGCTCTGAGGGTTGGATCAACACATGTGAGGAGCCTGTTATGCTACAGAAGGAATCGACAGAGCAGTAAAACCCTGATGGATGACTCTCTTAATGAAAGGCTGCTAGTGGAGCTCCATCCTGTAAAACTCCTCCTTCAGCTGCTCTAAAAACAAACCTGGATCCTGATTGATGGAGAGCATCGTTTATACGTCAGTGAAACCAATAAAGACAGAAGGGCGAAACAATTCATCCTTTTTCCTTCTACTCTGACAGAATCTTGTAGCTTCTATGTTAGCTTTAATTGTTTTTGGGTCATATCTGTGAGTTTCCGGTTTCAATAACTTTAAAACAGTTGAAGCAAAGGTTAAAGGAATCCTCACCAGCTCGATCCCTGCCACCAGCTCCTGGACGCCGCTAATGTGACCAATCCATCGGATAACCCCAAAAAGCGGCGGGTTGTTCACCTCCACCATTGACCCCACCTCCAGCTCCATATGTTCCCCCGTCTCTCCATACCCCTCTGCTTCTTCGTCGTCCTCCTCCTCTTCTTCGTCGTCATAGTCGTCTGCAGACCTCAAAGGCGAGGCGGGGCCGTGGACGCCGTTCGTGTGCTCCAGCTGCTGCGGTGTAGCAGCTGGGGCCAGGTTCTGAGGTTTTGGAGGAGGCACTGGCGCTGTGAGGGGGTGTCTGACTGAGGGTTTTGGAGGAGGAAGGGGAGGGGCTTTGAGTCCTTGTCTGTTAGGTGGTAAGAGGGGTATCTTAGGAGCAGGAGCAGAAGGCGTGGAGGTGCTTTGTTTAGAGATTGGAGACAGCGTTGGCTTTAGGATGGATTTGGGAACCTGGGAGAGAGGATGTGGGTGCTGGGGGGTTTGTTCTGAGGAGAGAGGATTAAAAAGGTAAATCACAGCATTTATTTACATGGTGTTGGAGGGAAACACTGGTGATGCACCTGTAGAGACTAAGTTTACTGGAAGCAGGAGTCCATAGAGAGGAGAGGGAATGTGGCAGAGCCTCTGTTCCTTATAAAAGCCGTCCCAGTTACCGGCGGGAGCGTCCTGAAGCCGAAAACAAACGCATCACAGAGCAGCATTGCATATTTAGAGCATGATCCGCCCAGTTTGGCTCATACTGACCAGAAGGATCCCAACGTGCATCGCAGATTGGACTCTGCCCGGCAGGACGCCGCAGAACCGCACCTCCCCCGCATGGGCTATACCCTCTAGGCTGACGGACACCCTCTGACCGAGGTGAAACGGCGGAGGCGATGTCGAGCCACGCAGATTGTTGTTAACGGCGACAGGAGCCGACTCCGTGGTCCGTGAGAGCACGGCCTGCGCCTGGTTCTTGGGGTGATGGTGGTGGAAGCTTAGCCGACGCAGGTGGTGGTGAGCAGAGCGCTCGTTGTTGCTGCGGTGGCCGTTGACGGCGTGGTTGCTGCGGCGGGGGTTTTCCCTGGTTTTCTCCTGTGCACGTCGCCGTTGTTCTTGCTGGACCAGCTGCGGAGACGCACGTGGCTCACGGGGACGAACAGGCCGCAGGCGTCCGGGCAGGAGAAGTAGCGGTGACCTTTGTAAGAACCGTTACAGGTTCCTCTGCCTGCTGCTGAGCCCTGAGAGGGAAAATTGGCTTAACATGAGCCCCTAAAGTCATTTAACATAAACACATTAACATTTTTTTTTAAGTAATAATTTGGAGAGGTCTAGTGAGAGTCCTGACTTTGGACCAAAGAGAATTCATCAAAATACTCATGGAAACAAACAGCTATGATGAAGCATAGAGGTGGCAGAGGGATGCTATGGGATGGGCTACTAAAGCCAGGCACACGCTGTGCGATATTTTCAATCATTGCACACAGCTACAGCTCAAACTGTACGATGAAACCGCAGGGTTTAAAAGTTCACAGCTCACAATGTATGTTCTCACACTGTGCAGCCCGACGCACTGATGCAACCTTACGACTGCCGACTGAATTTCAAACATGTTTGATTTTCTCCCGAACTTACGATTCCTGATCGGGAGGCTGGTGTGAGTTGCTGATAGCTCCTCGCTACCCGCTGTATATTACATAGGGGTGGAACGGTTCACAAAATCCACAGTTCGGTTCGGTTCACGGTTTTCGGTTCGGTATATGTTGATTGTTAGCATGACATGTTGGTGTAAGCATAAACAAAACATGTTGCACAATGCTTGCACACTGTTTTTATCCACAACTTTCTTTCCGCCGTCATCGTAGGTCACTCTAAATGCAAAGCGGTCCCATACAGCAGACCTATAAAGTGCTGCTGGAGCGTCTTCCAACTCCAGTTCTTTCCCACTCGCCATACCCACACAATTCTCCACAACAATTGATTTTTTTCCCTGCTACACCCGGCTGCGCTGCTTCGCTTCTTCTTCTTCTTGTTTATTACTGGTGGTTGGCTTTGGTCGCAGTACCGCCACCTTCTGCTCTGGAGTGTAATCGCTTCCTCTATGAGAAAAAGGAGCAGAGCATCAACCGAACGAAACACACGCGAACCGAACCGAGATAGTCGAACCGAACGATTCTGACGGTTTTCATAAACCGTTCCATCCCTAATATTACACGACACACACACAGGCTGAAAGTCGGCCCGATCGAAAAATTCTCACAGGACTGGAGAATCAGACCAAAAAAAAAAGATCGTACAGCGTAAGCCCGGCTTTAGAAAATAAGAATGAGCGTAACTTTCCAGTATCTTGTAGTGCAGATCTGGTAGAGACACACCAGGCAGAGAAATATCAACTGAAGATAAAGGGATTCACCTTTAGCTCCACTCCAAAATATAACGCGCTGCTTCCTCCGCTGAGCGGCCCGATGTATTTGAGTTCTGCCTCGGCCAGCTCATTCTGCGGGCCAATCTGGACCCACAGCGGGGCGTGGATGGGGAGGGAGGCCAACTGTCGCAGGTTGTTTGGATTGTCTGGAAAAAGTCCAACAGATGCAGACAGTCATCACAATGACAGAGACTCTCCAAAAAAAAAGTAAAAAAACGATCCGCTGGGCTTTGTTTCTAAGTTTGAAGACGTTTCGCTTCTCATCCAGGAAGCTTTTTTATTTCAAAATGACAGGAATAGTGTTCAGTTTGAGGCTTTATACAGCAGCCAAACAAAACCTTGTTTCTGTTTTGAAAACATGAAAATTGAAACGGACGAAGGGGTCCATCCCTTTGGAGTGGTGGTCATTTGGTTTCTTTTGTTAGCCTGCAATGCCCCATACCCGTCTAAAAAAGGAAGCAAAACGACCCCCCATTCCAAAGGGGTGGACCCTTTCTTCCGTTTCAATTTGCAGGTTTTCAAAACAAAAACAAGGTTTTGATGGGGTACTGTATAAAACCTGGAAGTCAAGGCTTTTCCTGACATTTTGAATTGAAAAAGCTTCCTGCATGAGAAGCAAATCGTCTTCAAACTTAGAAACAAAGCCCAGTGCATTGTTTGTTACTTTATTACATCTTTCTAACACATGCATGAGATTTATTTTAGGGCTGCAACTAATGATTATATTGAAAATCGATTAATCTGACAATAAGTTTTTTGATTAAAGGATTAACAATCGACTAGCCAAATGTTCCTTAAAGAAAAAAAAAATCCAGGAGATTGATTTTTATTTTTTAGAATGACTATGACCTGGATGACTGAGAATCTTCACCAGCACAAGGAGAGACAACATTTCAGGTGGGAAATCAACAATCGAATTCGCTTAAGAAAAAGAAATCAGACATAGTTAATGCATTACTTAAAAGGTTGAGCCGAACTTCGGGGTCCTGGACGGGCTCCACCAATCCAACGAGGTCAAGTGCCACTTCTAGCAGATACTTCTTTTCTATCTTTACCATGAGGCCATTATCCAACACCTGCGAGACAGAACAGCCTGTTAACATGAGGAGGTGGAAACATAGCATGATGCATCCTTTCTTCATTTTGCTCCTGTTGCCTCTCAGACACATTTCTATAACATTCGACGTTTCCTTTTACCTCTTTGCAGACGCCTCACAAATAAATGAACACCCCTCCCTTGGTTATTTATTTGACAATGCACATTAATCGACATTTTATACTGTAAACATGCCTGATTTAGCTAAATTAAGCTAATTCTCCTTGGTAGAACCTTTGGCAGTTGTCAAATCAAGCCTAAAGAGTAAAATAAATAAATAAATAACATTCCATAACAATCTATATGTACAATAAAAATACAGGAAAAAAACATACAACCAATATTTACATTTCTTGTGACAGCATATGTTTATAAGTGTCTCCAGCAGCCACTTTTTGAATGATAAGAATGACGGAAAAACTGTCCTTTCTTGAGGCACTGTTGGGACCCTCTGAATGAAAAGACCTTCTGGTTTTTCTATAGGAGAGAAAGCAGCTTACCTTCCCCTCTAGTTATGATGAAGAGGTGCAGAAGCCTTTTAATTATATAAATTAGACTAATAACTTTCAATTTATCCAAGCTCAAAACTTTATACTTCTGAGCAATCTAAGAATGATGACTTTTCTTATTCATAGGTTATTTATATATTATTTTTAAAGGGATTATTGTTGTAGAATGACAATAAGACCAGGTTATATTACAACATATGGGAGAGCGTCATGGCAAAAAAACCCAAACAAATATAAATATGTCATTGCAGCTGTGTTTGAGGAATCTAAAATTTTATCCTCTTAATTTGACCTTATAGCGGGTTTTATTGATACCTGTTTTAAAGACAAGTGTTGAGCAGTAATTTGATCTGAGGTACTTGCATTCTGCAACCGTTTACATTTACTGTTTAAATGACATCATGGATGAACCAAAAATGATTTTTACTTGCATCAAAATAAAATCTAAGTTCTAATGTTTGAATAAAAGAAACTTATTGACAAACCTAATGAATTTTCGTGGTTCTTCAGCCTCTTTTTTTAACCAACCAACTGTTTGAAATGTCGCTCCGATTTGTTAAAGTCGTTTAAAGGTAGATAAACATGCAAGTTCTGTTGGGAAATCAAGACTCTAGAAAAGGTGAAATCTAGCTTCTACATTGAAGACTGAGAAAATGATCCATGCTTTCATTACCACTCTTAGATTACTGCAACTTATTATATAGAAGCTTTTCTACAGCGTCCCCACATGATCCAAAACACTGGTTTGAACAAGTAACCCCACCACTGTGCATTGGCTGCCTGTATTGTTTTTACAAATAATTGATTTGTTTTTTAAAAGTTTGAAAAGGCTTAGCCTCTGCTAACCCACAAGATCTTCTACAGAGCACCACAATCAAACAATAAAACTACTCCTACAGCAAATTTAAATGCAGAGCAGACTGCACTAGATATGTTGAACAGCTTACCTCTCAATAGAAGCTTGCACCATTTTAAATCACTCTTGAAATCTCATTTATATTCCATATATTCCTGTTTTTCTTATTTTTGTGTTACATTTAAATGCGCTAAATTCATCTATGGTTTTATGAAAGCTGTGCAGCACTTTGGTGCAGCTGCAGGCTGTTTTTAAAGGGCTTCATAAACAACGCTGACATCAACATCCTCAGATTGAAACATGGCGGTGGCAGCATCATGCTGTGGGAGTCTTTGGAGAGGGGGAAAGAAGCTGCTCAGAGAGACATTCTGAAGGAATATAACTGACACACTGTCTTATATGCTAGATGTGGAAATAGCACTTTGTCTCCTCGATTGTCTATTTGGAATAAAGACTCTAAATCAAAGAACATGGACCATATCATATATCACGAGGCTTTTTAGCAGCCAAACATATAATATTGTTGAACTGATAGGAAATGAACTATAATTGTTTTGATGTACAGAATTGGAACGAAGAGTTTTTAGGAATTGGTACCAGGCTGCCATAATCCTAGATAATCTACCAGATCCCAGCTTGTCTGGACCTTGGCCTACACTGAAAATGTATTTACAAAAATGTACACAGTAACCACCTGTTATTGTCTTGATAAGTTACCCCTCTACCTTGTGTATTATAGCTAACGCTGTACCCCCCTCCCCCTTGGGTAAATGCAGTGATGTCACCAGTACACACATTTATTACTTAAAGCTACAGTGTGTAATTTTCAGCGACATCTAACGTCCAGACTGCAGACCGCAGCAACATGAACATCTCCCCCCCACCGCTTCTCCCCCCCAACAGTACGGCGAGCATTACGGGACAAAATGTCTTCCACGACGTCCGCATCACCTACCTTCTCAAGTGATGAGGTTTGTTTACATAGATAATTTTACAGATAGTATTTCATTAGTCTGTGTAGGGTATAGATTTCATGTAGACTTAAGATAATAAATGTACCCGTTATTTTTTCTACATCGTTGTGACGTTTTGGTGAGCTGCTTTGCATGGTGATATAAACAGACAAAGTAATTGTAGCCATTAGTTTAACAGCGAGATTGTGTTCGCTGGAAGAATATATATTCCCCGTTTACAGAGTCCAAGTCTTGTTTGTGGCACGGGGGTTACAAGGCGAGGAAGAGGGAGAGGAAGAGGGCTGAGAGGCCGGGGTGGGCGTGCAGCCAGGGCCAGGCGAGAGAGAGGTGCCAGCGGGGTGACTAGAGCAGAGGAGGAAAGGCTTGAAGATCTCCAAAGGAGCCGGAGAGAAGTAACCGAGGTATATATCCAGAAAATTACTGAATCATTACCTGTGAAACGTCAGGGACGTTGCTGAATAAGTATACTGGAGAGTAACAGCATCATCACGCAGCATGTTATTGTAATGGGCGATCTCGCAATCACTAGTTTGTTGGCTCTGCGCTGCCGTAGCGCAAAGATGTCTGCCTCCATGGCTGCGAGACCCGCTCCTATGTAATTATACATAACGAATTCTAAGGCAACGCAAATATTAAGGTTAAGAGGCTGAGCTCGTAGATGATGATAAATAACATAGTTATGTATAATATATTACATTTCTGACTGTATATCCCTGTAATTATTACACACTCTAGTTTTAAGTAAAAGTATAGATACTGCAGTTGAAGTATCAACCTGACCTCTTTACTCAAGTAAAAGTGAAAAAGTATGTGCTCCAAAAACTACTTAAAGTATAAAAGTATAAAGTAACCATTAACAGAAACAGCCAGATGCCACTATATGAATAGAAAGCTCAATTTTTCAACTATTTCTAAAAATTCTTTGAGATAGGGCCAAGGATGAGGGAGGTCTTGTTGGTCTCCGTCTCCCGATACGCTCTCGCCTGTGTCCGACCTTTCAGACATTTCAACATCTTTTTCTGAATCCAACATTGTAGCATAAAATAGACAATTCATGTTTGCAGTTTGAAGAACACCTGCTTGCTTCTGATGATTTCCTTTAGCTAACCAATGATTGTTTGCGTTATATGACTCATCCAATTACACTAGTTTTCACTAGACGTGGATGACGCCAATGATCTGCATTGGATGGCGTACATGCAGTGAAATAAATATTTCTAAACATTAAACCGAAGCCAAGAGTAACGAGTAATGTTTGTTTTAAAACTGTAAGGAATAGAAAGTACAGATACTTGTGTGAAAATGTAATGAGTTGAAGTCAGAAGTAGGAAGAAAAATAAGTAATGGAGTAAAGTATAGATAGTAAAAAGTGTACTTAAGTACAGTGACAAATAGGGGTGTAAATAATAATCGTTTTGTATCAAGGCATCGATCCAACCTATTTTGCCCTCCTACCTAGCTTCCTGGTTATACTCTTACAGCAGTGTGTTGCAGTAAGCTTGACACAGACATTTTTGATTTATGTTCAATATTGAAGCGTGGTCTGTGCTACACACTGTGGGTCTAGATACGGTCGAGGCGGACAGGAAGTGGGGGCGAGTTTAGTCAGACGACGGAGGGACATGAAGGCCAAAAAGAGCGGAGATCCAGGTGGAAAAAGGTTCCAGCGTTCTCGCGCACCTCGCTCTTCTAGCGGGTCAAACTTCACGAGTTGTTTTCCGCAATTTTGGTCATAAAAACAAAACAAGCTGGCCTCCTGTCTGCTGCACTGTTTGCGGTCAGGTAGAATTTGGGAGAGGAGCAGCGGAGCGTCTGTAAAGGGGCCGGGGACGTCTGGAGCCGAGGTATTGCATTGCACTGATTTTGTGCAGTATTTTTTGATGCAACTTTTCTACTTCTGTTATTTGCTGTTGTTTCTAAAAAAAAAAATGCATAATGATATTACAACTTCCATTGATTTATTTCAAATTTGAAACATTGTCTATCCTGTAAGGTAAAAAAAAAAAAAATGAACCAATAATCATGGTGTATTCTTGAGTATCGAAAATAATCCAATCGTTGGGTCAGGAAATTGATACTGAATTGAATCGCCATGATGGATGTGATTTACACCCCTAGTAACAAAGTATTTGTACTTCTTTACTTGACACCTCTGGATAAATGTGTATATATATGTATGTATGGGTGTATGTATATCTCTGTAACTACATGTATGTTGTCCATTATAAAAATCCCCACAAAACTCATGACATAATCCTGAAAAAAGCCTGCTTTCTATCACTGAATGATATGTTTATCTTTTTCTAAGGAACTCTCTGAAATGGTCATGATAAAAAATGATTAATTTAGGCTCCTTCTAAAGCTGAGAAGAGCCGGGGCGGAGCTAGATGGAGGGGGGGCAGGGGTCGCATGGCCACCCCTGCCATTTTTTTCCCTCTAATACAGACGGTGGCAGCAGTAATATCTCAAGAGGAATATTCAAAACATTTTAATTTTTCATATATTAACAATAGGCTCTATGCACAGCTCCACTACTTCCTGAATTTAATGCAGCTCCTTTGTTTCCTGTCTTTCATGATTGGATGCACTGATTAATCCAGGTGTGTATGACCTAAGTAACTGGCCAGACACACCTGGATTAATCAGTTCGTCCAGTAATGAAAGACAGGAAACAAAGGAGCTGCATTAAATTCAGGAAGTAGTGGAGCTGTGCATAGAGCCCATTACTTGACAACAAAAACAATGTGGTTAATTACGCTCATCAATATACTAACATTACAGATAATAATTAATGCTCTTTTCAGAACTAGATTTTGGGTTATATGGGGTAAAGAGAAAATGATGTGTCTCTGAAAGTCATCTAGGATTCTTCAGTGAAACGATAGATCAATAACTCTTTCAATAAAAACCTAATAATCATTATATATATATATATATATGTACTTGTAAATACAACATTTAAGCAGAATAATTGTTGATACAAATAGGTAAGTAATGACAAAGGAAGAGATGTTTGCCCCAGAGCTCAAACCTGAAAGAATTTGATCAACTATACCTTTTATCTAGAAAGCACAGATGTTTAAATATATGCTTCTATTTGTTAGCAAAGGCTGTAGGAAAGTGTAGTTTGTCTTTAAATGGTTATCGCCTGGCCACCCTTATAAAAATGTTCTGGCTACGCCTCTGTAAGAGACTCCTGGTTGTGCAGAAAGTGTGAGAAGTTGCCATGCTGGTACCTTCACCCAGAGGGCGTCCCTCCTGATCTTGCCCTGGTCTTGTTCGGAGCAGATGAAGCCCCTCTTCAGCACAATCAGACCCTCCAGATCATCCTGGACCTGAAGGTCGGTGGTGATCAGGAACGCCTTGAAGGGACGCCGCTTCCTGCTCTGCTCGTGAACTCCTGACATCTCGGAGGTGTCTGTATCAGCGGCAGCGGCTCCACGGCGAGAATTAAGCCCTCTTTCTCTACGGACGGTAAAGAAAATTGTTCTCATTACGAGGAGGAAGCGGCAGGAGTGCTGCGGTTTAACCGTTCACCTGGAGGAGTGACGGCGACAGGTAGCCGCGGTGAAGCTCGCATTAAAACTTTATCTGTTCCCACTTCCCACTAAATCCCTCCTCCGTCGCAAGTTCTTCACTTCATAAAACAACTTGGAAAAACTATCGGAGGAAAACTTACCAACTTTTTCAACTCCGACCGTCAACATTTCCCCTCACATTTAAAAGGAGCTCCGCTCAATAACAAACCGCGAGGCGAATAAGGAAGCGGAGTGATTGACGGCTGAACAGCCAATAGGGTGCGAGGGAGCGAAACACAGGAAGGAGTCTGACCAATCAGTGCGCTGGAGGGCGTTGTCAACGGCGGGGGGGAAATTCCACAGCAATTGTTGACGCTCCATGCAATTTCGGAAACACACACACACAAAACAACGCAGGCTAATTAAAGGATGTAATTTTTATTATTATTATTAGTTCATATAAATAGAATAGAAAAAATATATTTCCACACAGCTCTTCTTTCATTCACAGTTCTCAGCATTCCCCGTACAGTTCATCCTTCAAACAAGATCAGAAAGTGCAAATGTCACGTCCTTCAGAAAAGTTTTCATGGCATCAGTTTTTTCCCCACTATAGTCATGTCAGTTTAATTCATATTTGAAAGAATGACATCATGCTCTGGGATCCCTTCAGGCTGTATAAGGTCTGCAGTGGCGAGGCTTCACCAAAGAGGTGTCAAACTTTTCCACTCCACTCCCCATCTAAACCCACAATGAAAAATGTAAACAATTCAATTTCATTTCCTTCCATGTTCCATTTGACAGTCATATTTATAGGTCGCCTCAATTTAGGGTGCAAAAAACAAAAATAACAAAACAAGGACTAAAGTTGTTTGTTGCCGTTTCACATTTTTCCATCTCCATGCATGTAATCAGGAATGTGTGTGTTTTTCCTACTATGACAGGTTAAATAAACATTTTTGGAATGAAACATGTTTTTGCCCAATTTCTATAGCTATCCAGTGCATTTCAATGCATTTAAGCCATAAAGTAACCCCCCCTAATCTAGACATTTAATTAAAAAAATAACCTTTAATCTTTAATACATGTTAAACATCTTTCATTTTTTTGTGATATGGGAACATTTCAACAATAATTTCTAGAATTTCATTTGGTAATTAAGTCTCTAATCAGTGATTTTCTTCCTTTAAAGGCTTCCTTTAAAGTGTAAGCAATGATCCACAGTGTTCAGAGGTCCATCAGTAGAAAGCTTTCTCCTTCCAGATGCCAGCTGGTTTATTTATTTTTTTTTAGGTTGGATTGTATTTATCGTCTCATCCAGAAGACAAAAGGCAGCTTCTTAAAAAAAAACAAAAAAAAAGTATCTGCGATCCTTTTAATCGCTGAATCAGCGTCTGGTGTGAGCGTCTCCTTCTGGTTGTGTTTCTGTCATTGTGAAAACCAGAATGACTGGCTGCAGTGTGAATCACCAGCCGTCGGTGTGCAGCTCTTGTTTTAAATGGGTCCAGGTTCTGACTAGAACTGAGGGGTCGAATGATCGGTATTGACGTAGTAGGTGGTGAGCTCTCCTTTCCCCTTCACGTTGACTTTTCCTCGCAGGGTGACATCGTACCCAACGCTCTGGATGATTTGGGACGTCTCCTCTGTCACCTGAGTTCAAAGAGGGGGGGATTAAAACAAAATGTTGAGTTTATAATTGTTTTTAATCCCATTTTTTTATTCTACAAAAAAATAATTACTAAATAAAAGGAAATATGGTTTAGTATCTTGTTCCTACAATTGGAATTTGCAGAATTAACCTGCTTTAAACCTTTTTTTCCCCCACAGAGATAAACCCCTGCGTGTGTTTGGTGTTTTTCTGACCTGTATCTTGTCCAGCTCCCCTGTGCTTTCCATCCTACTGGCAACATTAACAGAGTTCCCCCAGATGTCATACTGGGGTTTATGGGCTCCAATAACTCCTGCGATCACTGGGCCGTGATTTACTCCTGCAGAGAAGAAGGACTGTAAGGTTAAAACTGCCTTTAAATCACACCTGTCTTTGCATCTGTGCTGATTTGATTTAAAATGGATAAATCCTTAACATAAATGCAACGCCTGACAGTGCAGCAAACATCCAAACTATTTCATTTATTTATTCTAAAAAATATATATATTTCAGTGTTCAAAAACAAAATATATATATATATATATAAAAAAACAATATTAATAATGCTCACAGCAGCAATAAGCAGCAGTTTATTTTATTCTATTGAACATATGTTTTAGAAAAGTTTGGTTGGAGATAAAGAAAAACTTGCAGTAAATCGTTTTTTCTGCAGATCTTAAGTGAAATTAAGTATTGGATGAAACTGATGGATACTCCTGAGACTTTATAGCATTTAAAAACATCTGTCCAAGTCCAATATAGGAAGGAAACACAAGAGAAAATATGAAATCACTTATTAAATTGAACTATTTAGAAGTCTGGAGTATTTGAAAAAGAACTGAAATGTTAGAACTATAAATATACAGTCAAATGTTTATATGACCGTTTTTTTTGTATTTTTTTTTACTGTTTTCAAGGCTGCACTTTAAAAAAAGTGACTTTTTCTAGAGAGCTGTTTCTTTTTGTTTACACTTGTGTATAAAAAAATCTGTCTAAGTAATTTAAGTTGATCCTTTCTTCTTCTAAATGTGAAAAACCGTGACTTCAGGTAAGGAAGCTGTGTCTTTAATGGGAATGAGCCTCTCCAGAAACAGAGGAACATTCTTTCTAGCTTTGCTCTAAAGAAGCACCTTTAAGTAATGAACCCCACAGATTCACAGCCAGCTGCTGTTTGTGGGATGCAGTACTGAATCAGGAGAGTCTTTTTAATGGGTTAGGGTTAACATACATGACTGCTTCAATAAAACTGGTCATAGATGCAGATACAGATGATGAGCACATAGATTGAAAACCCACAAAGCTGCTAATTAATGACCAATCATTTCAGGTGAACAGATTAGAGTTAAAACCACATGTAAAAAGTCAGAGTCCTGTTTAGGTTTTAGTTTAAAGATGATCAAAACAATAGAAACAACTCTTTTGAACTAGAGTATTTTATATTAGCTGGAGAGTATTGGTCTGCTCAATGGAGAAGTAGAGGCGGGGTTGAATCAGTTTCAGCTGATGGAGTCAACAATGAGCGGACCCTGCAAAACTAAAACAGAAATGCTTTTACAGATCGAAATAGAAAAGGATAGAAATTGATCTCACAATGCAGAAATTCACTCTCTGCATTTAACCCATCCCCTTAGGGAGCAGTGGGCTGCTATTGCATGGCGTCCAGAGAGCAGTGTGGGGTTAAAGGAATAGTGCACCCAAAACATGATTAGCCTTCATTTTCTACTCACCCCCATGCTGAACAACACTCTGCAGTACTTTTTTGATATCTCAAATGCATCTTGAGATCTGGGAGGCTTCTTGTTGTCTGCTGACATTCAAATAATGGAGGTCTGTGGCGCCCGAGGCAGAAAGGTCCATAAAAGTCCACAAAAAATGTGTCAATATTCCTCCATACTGCTCGTCCAATGTATTCCAAGTGTCCTGAGTGGGTAGCATCCAGAATTTACTCGAAACGAAGTCATTTAGAATGTTTTTAGAGCATAAACAGTAGTGTATAGGATTTCCTAAAAGCGCGTTCACGAGTCTACGGAAACCGCGGCAGACAAAACCAGACGAAAGTGCGCATTCAGCTCAGCAAAGAACTCATGCTCTTCCTCAACACTGAAGTCCTCAGACATTTTTCTTTCGTTGTTTCTTTCTTTGCACAGACAGCACAGTTCTTCTTCTATGCTTGCATTATTGGCAGAGCAGACGCTGAATGCGCACTTTCATCTGGTTTGGTCTGCCGTCTTCCGTAGCGTCGTGAACGCGCATGTGCGCGCTTTCAGGAAATCCTATACACTACTGTTTATGCTCTAAAAACATTGTAAATGACTTTGTTTCGAGTAAATTCTGGATGCTACCCACTCAGGACACTTGGAATACATTGGACGAGCAGTATGGAGGAATATTGACACGTTTTTGTGGACTTTTATGGACCTTTCTGCCTCGGTCACCATAGACCTCCATTATTTGAATGTCAGCAGACAGCAAGAAGCCTCCCAGATCTCCAGATGCATTTGAGATATCAAAAAAGTACTCCAGAGTGTTGTTCAGCATGGGGGTGAGTAGAAAATGAAGGCTAATCATGTTTTGGGTGTACTATTCCTTTAAGGGTCTTTCTCAGGGACCCAGATTGCAGGCTGTGGGTGCTTGTGCTTCTCAGAGCACAAGCACCCTGCATTAACCACTAAGCCAACAGTCCCCTTGGATGGAGAGGAGACTAAAGTCATTTTTATTTCTACTGCTTTACATTAGTTTGTTTCTTAACCAGGATCAGTGAGGCTGAACGCAGCATGAGGCGAAACCTGGACCCCTTAGAGTCGCTGCAGCTCCATTAGGGTGGTACCTCCCATAGCTGCCTCTCCCAGCAGGAGAGCTGGTCACCCATCATCAGCATCTGCTTAGTGTGAGGATGATTCTCTTTTCACCTGATCTCACTATTTGGCTCCTGCTGAACTGTAATCCTCTCAATCAGGTATTAAAGCAGAGCGACATCTTAAACAGAGCAGGGTTATAAACACTGCTCAGTGGAGCTCCACTGGTATTTCCCAGAGAGAATAACAGGACTGGCAGGTTGGACGGTTTCACTGATGAGGACGGGTTCACTGATGAGGACGGGTTCACTGACAGAAGTGAAAGGATCTGTAGAAGCTGCAGCCTGGAACATTATGATCAGTGTGGTGGAGCAAGTCCAGGTTCCTAGAGCTAAATGCAGGCGCTTCGTGGAGGATTAGTGAACGGATTGGACTCTATGCTCCCCTCTTGCACCCAATTTATCATCTGGAGGTCCATCCATCCATTTGGTGCTAACTGGACTAATCTGAGGCATCAGTTTTACTTCCTCTGTGACGTTCAGGTTATATCTCTGAGGGTTGATCTTGATTTTCATCAAATAATGCAGCACCTTTTGCTGCTTAAAACGTTACTCAACCTATGTTAGTATTGAAATCTGATGTTTTTAATTACATAGAGTATCCACAGATAATTACCATTTCCGTCTAAAAATCTAAACCTGGATGACTTTATATTTTATATTTAATGCATTTAGATAATACTTTTTCTTCAGCTTTTCCACTATATTGTGTGCATCACATATATAGTATATTCCCACTAAAATGCCTTCAGGTATTTTGTTTTAACATG